TTTGTCTCTCCTTTTTCAATTTAATTGGCTACTTTTAAGTTAAATTCATGTCTCAGAAGTTTTGAAGATCCTAACCTCCTTCTGTGTTAAAGTGCAAAGTAAGACTTTATATTCTTGCCATATAAACATCCAGAAGAATTATTTGCTGTCTATGAAAGATGATTTGTTTCCTATTTTTATAGTTCAACAGTATATGAAGTGCTCTGTTTCAGCATGTGTGCTCCAAAGTACACCGCCTGGGGTCAAACTGTGATTGGATCACTCACTGTGTGCCTTGGGGTCACAAGTTTCTTAAACTCTCAGATCATCTTTGTACAGCAGGGATGTTATCAATTGCCTAGGGTTGTTGTGAGGATGAAATTAAATAGTGGCTTTAAACCACTTGTTGTAGTTCTTGGCACATAATAACTGCTGCATAAATGTTAGGTAACATTGGAACACCAAGTTAAGGAACATGACTATGTATGCAGTACTGTGCTCGTCTTCTCAAGTTTAACTTGAATGGTTGTTCTCTGCATCTGTAGTTCGTTGTGACTCTTCTGCTAAATATAGCTGAGTTGATAAGAAGTTATAAATTATATGTAAACAATGAGATTCAAATGTTAATGTTAAAGTCCATTATGGTAATCAAGAACCTAAAATTGCTGCTCGCCAATTTCAGACTAGGAAGAAGATCATCTATGGCACAGTGGTGAAAAACATCAATTCTGCAACCAAAATGCCAGGGTTTTTATTCTGGCTCCACCCGTCACTAGCTCTGTGATCATGGGCAAGTTATTTGAGCTCCCTATTCCTCAGAATCTCCATCTATCAAATGATGAACATGGTAACACCTATCTCAGAGAGTGGTTATGAGTTCACATGCATGGTCACATACACACACGCAGTCACAGCCCATAGGTCATATGTGAGTATATAACGTCATTAAACATTATACAGGAAATATGCAAAATTCTTAGAACAATGCCTAGCACAAAATAAACACTGCAGAGGTGATTGCTATTAATAATATTTAGTTTTTATATCTGTATACTCTGGAAGAACTATGGTTTTAAGGAAAATAAATCAGAAAATCTATGTTTTTTTTTCTCTGTAGTTGGATATCATACTCATGGAGTACAGTTGATGTACTAAACTGGAACCAATTGTTTTAATCAACATTAGATGGAAATCTAATTACATTAATCTAATCTACATTAGATGGAAAACTCTCTCCAACCACTCTACAGCCTTCTTGAAAATATACCTGGCATTTCATTTATAACCAGAGTTAGTATGTTTAAGGCAATCTAGCCTTTAATGCAAAAAGGAAAAAAGTGGTTCCATTTGTACTTGTAAGAATTTCTAGAAGTGTCCCTTTAAAGGATGTTGTGGAATTTGTTATTCACAAGCTCTATGGTCTTTCCTCCAACTGTTGTCTCCTTGCCTTGCCCCTGCATTTGACATTATTTTTTAAAGTAATTTATTTATTTATTTGAAAGACAGTTATTGGGGCTTTTTGGAGGGTGGTATGTGTTGGGACCTGGGAGAGAGAGAGATCCATCTTCCATCTATTAGTTCATTCCTCAAATAGCCACAGTGATCAGAGCCAGGCCAGGCCAGGCCAACGCCATGAGCCAGGAACTCCATCTGAGTCTCCCATGTCGGGGCAGAGGCCCAGGCATTTGCTCCCTCTTCTGTTTTTTTCCCAGGAGTATTAGGAGGGAGCTGCATCAGAAGTGGAGCATCCAGGACTTGGGAATGCCAGTGTCACAGGTGGTGGCTTAAAGCTCTGCCCCACAGTGCCAGCCCCTGCATTTAATGTTATTCAGCACGGCTCCTTGAAATCCTCTCTTTCCTGGGCAGACTGACTTAGACATGGCCTGTCCACCAGCACAGAGATCCCCCCCACCCCCGTCAGTACAAGTCCTGTTTTCAAGAATTCACTGATTCCCTAGGCTGCTGCTTCCCTCTGTCAGGGCGAGGTCTCACATTTGTTCTGTTCTGTGTGCTCAGGTCTATGCCTGGATCCTGAAAGGCTGCTAGCATTCCTACCCACTCATTACCACATCGCAATGGAATTTGTGTTTCTTCAGAAATGTTCCCCCTGCAGTACTGTGATGTATCAGTAGCACTGTCCTGGACTGAGCTCCTGGACTTCACATGTAGCTGTCCTTGTGACCCCCCCCTTTGCATTCCTTTCTTAACTACAGGTTCCTTTTGATGTTTCTCCTCTGATGTGACTTCCCTACTCTGTGCCCTTGGAGGTCAGAACCTTATTACACAGCAGTTAATTCCCAGGAGCCATTCCTATTGGAAGCACTGTCCTTCCCATTCATCTTTGTAGTACCACATTTATCCATTCCACACCTATCCTGTTTCTACCCTTATCAGGTAGACACTTCTGCCTGGCCTTCAAATATTTCCGTAGGTAGTGTGTAGAATGTGTAGCCCCTGTGTGTCTCACTTGAGCCCCCTGGGACTCTGCTTAGGAAAACCTTCCTTCCATGATCACAGGAGAACACTGTGCACCTGCCGCCTTTCAGTTCTCCCTGCTTCTGGGCCACCAGTGCATGTACAGTCTGCGGTCTGTCTTCCTTTGTGCCTTATATATGCGAGGGCTGCATGCATGGACTTTGTTTTCAGATGTATGAAGACAGGTACCCGCCTTAAACATTTTTGAAATAGATCTGAATCCAGCATAGTATCTGTAACAGGGGGGGAAAAAAAAACACAGAAAGCCATTAAATATTACCCCTCAAAGAGAACAAAGAAAAAATCTGCTGCCTGCTCTGCTATTATACAGAAGATGAATCAGAATCCCTGAGGTGGACACTTTAACATTTAATAGCTATGTATTTAGATTCATGGTTACATTCTATCCATGGCCAGTGGTATTGAATAACATATACATAATTGATAAAGTTTTATTTTAGAATAAATTCAATTTTGATTTAAGTATTAATGTAGAGAAAAATATCAAGTATTGATGGCATGAAAAAATTGTGAAAGTGTTGCTCAAATGATAGAAGTCTTAAACATTCTACAGCATGTTGTTTTTGGAGTCTGTAATTAATAATTTTTGAGTGACTTGAGTCAGCCTAGAAAACAAGCCTTCAGACCCCCTTCCTAAAAGCTTCTTATGACCGAATGAGTAGGCAGGTGGCTTTCACATCTATATTTTTAGCTGAAGGTCAAGGAAAGGGAAAAGTGTCAAGTGGAGAAAATGAGTTTCAAATCCTGGAAGGTCCTCTGATTGCCCCACTCACCACAGGTGGTGACGTGACTGCAAACCAGTGCTGTCATCCCCAGGCAGGAGTGGAGACATCAACTCTTCCAGTACCCATGGCTCCCTCCAAACCAAAGCAACTGGGATACATCATCCCCGGAATGAAACCCCCAGAGATGGTTTAAATTCCATTATGCACATAAGAGAGAGAGAGGCATTCGTGTTTCACATGCCAATTCCTTTTCAGCCCCATCTCTTATTTTGGAAGATTTAATAGCCACCCTAACTTATGGTGGTTTCTGTCCACTAGTTTAGTCTCCCCAAACAAGGGTACTGAATTACAGGCCTCAAAGTCAATTCTCTGTGGGTGAACACAAATAGACTGCAGCTGAAGGTCAGCGTAGGGGGAGGGGAGGAAAGTACTAAGAAGCCGAAATCTCAAGTTGGAGTAAATACTGAGAGCTGAGAAAAGGACCCACTGAGCAATGCAGTTCTGATTCAAACTTCCCAGAGTTAGGTCAAATTTCACCTCATTTCTCACCATCTGGCTGTGGATTCAGAATTTCACACAATCCCTTAGGTTTCATCATTTGCTTGAATAGAACAATTCAGAGAATTCAGGAAAGCACCATGCCTGCAGCTAAAGTTTTGCTGTAAAGGTTTCAAATCAGGATCACCCAGAGATACAAAGAGCAAGATCTAGAGGTCCCCCAGATTGAAGTCCCCATGTCCTCAGGCCACATCACCCTCCCAGCACAATTCTAGGCATCAACAACCACAAGGCTTATCCAAGCCTTCAAATCCAGAACTTTTACTGGGGCTTCCTTAAGCACACCTGATTGATTGCATCATGGACAACATGATTAGCCTGGATTTCTAACCTCTTTTCCATTTCTGGAGATTGACAGATCAGGCTGATTTCCCAAGGCTCAAAGCCTTTAACCCTGTTGTCACATAGCTGGTCTTTCTGGAATGCTCAGCCCTCATTCTGAAATGATCTAGGGACCCATAGTCTATGGCCTCATTAGCATAAACTCAGGTAGCGTCCCAGGGGTCCCTCCAAGAATATAGAGACATTAGACCACTTAGGAAATTCCAGGGGCTTAGAAACCCTCTTTCAGGAAGCCAGGACAAAGAACAAGACAAATTCTTTATTATATAATACAAGAAAATACAATAAGAATTGGACTTGTAAGTCACAGAAAGCTAAGGAAAAAATACATATATATATATAATTTTTATAGCAGAGCAATCAACTGGAAAGTATTGCATTAATATACTCCTAAAATAACTGGCTATTAAATACTAGTAGAGTCTTTTCATTTATTTTTCACTCATTCATTCTTTAAATGATATTTATATGGTTCTTCTTGTGCTCCTACTGGAGATAGACTACTGACGTAGTATTAACAAAATTATTTTAAAAGTAAATAAATAAATAAATAGTTTTTATGTTATACAGAAAAGATTAACTATTTAAAATTATTAGCTGATTTTGATTCCAATCTAAATAAGCCTGAGTTCTGAAATAATTACTAATTATTGCTTATCAGAATTATGTCAGAAAGCCCCCAAAATATTAGACATTAAATCTAGACTTGAATACTTTGGAGAAGTAGGGATAATAGAAGAAATATCTGTGTTGCTTGTTTAACCCGAAGACTATTTGTTTTTATATTTTTAAACAAAATCCAGAAATGCTTTGAAATGTGATACGTTATAAACTGTTCTTTTTTTGCTTTCCTGTAATTGGAGCAACATACTAATTTCTACAAGTTGTGACTACTAACAGAGAGCAATCACCTCACAGACTTGTACCGAAAAGATGAGACCATCCAGGTGACAGGAAATGGCCATGTGCAGAGTCCTCGCTTCCCGAACAGCTACCCCAGGAACCTGCTTCTGACGTGGAGGCTCCACTCCCAGGAGAAAACAAGGATACAACTAGCGTTTGACCATCAGTTTGGATTAGAGGAGGCAGAAAATGATATCTGTAGGTAAGTGAAACAAAACAATCCATTTGAGGGTACCATCCGAAGGTGAGAGAAGGATGAAGTTAAAGCATCATATGAGATGTTCCCTTTGAGCCTTTTGGACCTACCCATAATATGCCGTGTTATTTTCAGTAAGCCTTTGTGTCAGCCGTAGTAGGCAGCACAGCAAAGGTTGTGCTGCGGCTGAACTAATAACCTGGAGTGATTGATTGACAGAAACCCGCCTCCACACCAGTCATGACTGTGACTGCTCAGGTAGGGTGGAATCTAGAGGTGCCTGTCCTTTGCAGGCTTTGTGAGCAGGAAAAGACGACCAGTGTCCCATGTCACCTGCGGCTATATCATGTGGCCTGGTCAAAGCCTGCCCCTTGCTATAGTGGACATCAGCCCCTGCTGGGTCCCTGGCATTGACCCAAGCCACTGTGACCACATTATTTCCCCCAGTGCTGGCTGAGGACCCCATCAGGGCCTTATGCTGAATTCCTAGTATCAAGGCCTCAGAGATCTGCAAGAGGAAGAGAAAGGAACCTGAGGCCAAGTGTTCTTCAGAGGAATCTGTTTCCTGTGGTTGCTGGGTCACGAGTGAAAGATGAAAGCTGTGCCTGACAGTCTTCTTCCTTCAGAGTTTATTTATCAGAGAAATCCTGCACTGTCGTTCTTTGAAATGTCTGCTCACAGCATCTTACTCGCTTAATTAGCATGTGTAAGACTCTGGCAGGATTTTCCTTCAGGTTTTGTACTTTTCTGCATGCATTTGTTCTGCATTGCCAATGAACTACTGAACTGCCAAATCCTTCCAGCAGGTTTATTTTCCTTCGAATAATAAAAAGGGGTGCCTCAAATTTGGTTGCCCTTTGTTGCATGTTGATTATGCTGACAGCTTTTACTATGTTGCTATTTTTCCAAGAATAACAGCAATGACTTACTTTCTAGGACCACAGAGGGTAATGTATGCCAGAAAGCAGAGCTGAATACCTGCATGAAGAACCAGTTAATATTTACAAAGAGAGTAAATGAAACCTAATCTTGTGTCTTTTTAACCTTGAAAGGGAGACCTAATTTACTGTCTTAGGGAAAAAAATAAATGTTATTGAAATATTGTTAAAGGTGATGACACAGAAGGTCCCATGATCTGTTTCTGTGCATCAGGTACTTCTGACACCAACTGTGAAGGAGGGTTTATCCCTATCAGCCAGTTCTCTGACAGTGCTATATGGCCTATAATTCAATGTAACTCTATCTACTTGGAGTTAGTGTCACATCCCACGAGTGTAGGACTTGGCCCTACAAGACTGCTGCTCCCATGTTAGATGCAATTGTAGGTCTCAGTTGCCAGCTGTCCATCTACTTCTGATGGACAGCTATAAATCACAAGGTTGCACAACCTCCTCCTTTGGTTTTATAATATGCTAGAAGAGCTCATGAAACTCAAGAAAACACTTAGTGTTACATTAACAGTTTATTATAAAGTATATAACGCAGAAACAGCCAAATGGAATAGCTAAACAGAGCAAGGTAGTAGGAAGGGTGTGTCCTTCAAGTCAATCACCCTTCAAGCATCTCAAGTTATTCTGCCCAACAGCCCTCTGAACTCTGTAGTCAGGGTTTTAGGGAGGTCTGAGTATGTATATGATTGCTTTCATCATTGTGCGATGTTGACTACACTCACTCTCTACGTCCTCTCTTCTCTCCAGAGTTTTTAAAATTTCCAACCCCCTAATTATGCTTTACTCTTTCTGTTGACCAGTCCCCATTCTGAAGCTATGTAGGTGCCTATCTAGAGGCATGTCATTAGCATACACTTGGTTATTGTTGAAAGGTTATCATTATGAACAGCAAGCACTCACCCCAGCACTAAGAAGTTCCAGGAGCCCGGGGAGCTTTGTGTCAAGAACCAGGGACATAGGCCAAACATACACATGCACACACACACACACACACACACACACATTTTCCTCACAGTATCACAGAAGGGAAACCACAACTGAGCTAGAATTTTGGTCCCAATAGTGAGTCCTTTTGATTCTGGCCTTTAAAATAGAAGAGGGAGTTAGGTAGGCTTTCTCTCTGAACCCTTCATGAAATCTTTGCTGTTTCCTTCAAATTGTATGGAAGAGGGTAGAGAAATAAGAGGTAGAAAAGAGGAGAGGAAACGGGGAGTGACAGTTTAGTGATTTGCAAAATGGTACTTTCTGGACTTTATATTCAGAGGTAAAATTATACTGTTGTTGGGTTTTTCCAAAAATTTTCAACACAAGTGACCTATTGTGTTGCAAACAAAGTCTCACATAAACCATGCCTCATGCAATAAATATGATTTACACATATTATATTTGAAATGAAATGCAATTGATTTCCTACCATCTGTTCCAAAGCCTCCTTGATGTTTACGTTGTAATACTTTATTGCTTGAATAATGATTCTTTGTGCTTTTCACCTTCCAAGTACTGTATAAATTCTTAGAAGTTAATTTACACTGCAACAAGATATATCTAGCTGGTAAAAGTTTATAAGCCTTCTTAGTTTGTGCATAAGGAAACTGAGGCATAGGGCACAAGGGTGTTGTAAACCATTGCTAAAGAAATTTAGACACAATATCATTAGTTTACAGTTGCTTCAAAATTCTACCTATTCAATAAGAGTTTTGAGGTCCATGAGTAAGACTGGTGAAGTCATATGGATTTTCTTTATATTCAGACACCATGATTCTTATGCTGATTTCTTCTGGTAGTCATGACAAGAAAATATAAGATAGATGTGAATTTTGTGCTGGAATTTACCCTGGATGCCCATCATTTTGTGCATGACTTTAGCAGCTGAAGTTATTCTGGGACAGTGTAAAGGAATAAGACACTAATGAGGAGTTGAAAAACAATTCAACCAATCAAATGTTAGGGGTCTGGAAATAGAATAAGGGGTCCCTATAAAATGGAAATTCTGAAACTGAGATGTCATATTCTGTGATGGAATGAAGAACGGGATACTATGGACAGGCTTGAAGGATCAACTGTTCACATGGAAAAACTAAAAAGGCCTTGGCTTGTCTTCTTGGATTCTGGGATTCTGTGTTTCTCTGACAAATACCAAAGGCACACCCGTGGTCTTATGTTCATTCGTCTGATTCAACCAGCTCCAATATTGGTTAGCGCACATCTTTCCACAAAGTTATAGATTTCCCTTTATGCTAAGTGCCGTATTTTATGATGTGATCTCTCCAAAAGATGGTTTTCTTTTTTTTTTTAACTTTTATTTAATGAATATAAATTTCCAAAGTACAGCTTGGATTACAATGGCTTTCCCCCCCATAACTTCCCTCCCACCCATAACCCTCCCCTTTCCCACTCCCTCTCCCCTTCCATTCACATCAAGATTCATTTCATTTTCAATTCTCCAAAAGATGGTTTCCAAAAAGAGAATGTGGCAAATCATGTCTTTATCCATTTGTTCCCTTTATTGAGAGGGCTCATTCTGTAAGTGATATAAATCATTTCGTTTCTCAAGGAGGCATTTAATGCCATAAATTCAAAAGAGGATTTTATTAGAAATACCTTACATAATGAATATTTGGGCATATTTCCTAACTGAGACTTCCAAAGCATACAAAAAACTAGTTGTTAGATTTTTCCAGGAAAATGTTCAAATCTAGATGCCCCGAAAATTTTGTTTTGATTGTTGGTGATCTGTGAGTTATCATGCATAAATGTATAAATAAGTTTGTAGACATCTTTCAGAAAATATATAAGCATCTTTTAGAGTAGATATTAGAGTTTCAATTTAGAAAATCTAATCCAAAAACTAGCTTCTTTTTAACAATTCAACAGGTTATAATTTTCCTTCAGTTAGTAGGTTAGTGAGAAATTGCATATTTTAGTTTAAATTTCTCAGTGAAAGTATGAGTTTCAAAATGTACTTCAAACAAAACATGCCCATTATTGTCAAATTGATTCTAGGTATGATTTTGTGGAAGTTGAAGATATATCTGAGACAAGTACCGTTATTAGAGGACGATGGTGTGGACACAAGGAAGTTCCTCCAAGGATAACATCAAGAACAAACCAAATTAAAATAACGTTCAAGTCTGATGACTACTTTGTGGCTAAACCTGGGTTCAAGATTTATTATTCTTTTGTGGTAAGTAGCTTTTGTACTCTATGATTAAAAGCAGACACTGCTATCATGAAGTATAGAGATCATTTTCTATGATTAAATACAGTGGTGTGAGGGTGTATCAGCTTTATTAATTTCTTATGGTATGGTTTTCTCCTACCCTCTGGCCAAAATGTGAAAGCCTTCATTAGCAAGGAATGGCAGTTTGGATCTTTATATCAATTATTGGGCCTTGAATTGTAAAAAATTTCATAGAAAAAAATAGTATATAGGGAAGGAGGTATTAAATTACCCTTAATTCAACTGAAGCAAGGTTAATATATGTGTAACCAAATAGAAGGCTCTATTTGAGAAGAGAGCAAGGTTTCAGAAATAAAGCTAAAGAAAATACTTTGTCTTTTTGCTTGAAATGTTGTCTATAAATTCCATCAGAGAATAAGTCCGATGATTGTAGTTTAAACCATGTCTCAGATTTGAAAAGATTCCAGGTTATAATCATAGAACCTCAGCATTGGCCAGCATCTTCAAGGTCTAGCTTAGGATGCAATTCAACAGGATAAATTCTGTTTAATAGATCCATGCATATTTTAAATCTCACCTCTACTTAAACACCATAGGAGCAATTCCCAACTCTAAAAGATTGTTAAAAAGTGCTCAACCCCATGTGGAGCAAAATCTGCATTGTAATTAAGTGTAATTGCTGAATCCCACATACTCATGAGCCTTCTTCATTAATTCATCAATGAATGTAACAATATTGTTCTCCCTCTTTCTCAGACATTCTGATATAATAGAGACATGATGATATTGTCAGACATTCTAATATAATAGAGACACGATGATATTGTCAGACATTCTGATAGATTTAGTAAAAATATAATAATAAACCAGACAAAACTGAGCTGGAACCTCCTGGAGTTTATCATCTGATTGAGATGATATTAATTAAAGAAGTTAACAATAAAAAATGATGAGTAATAAGACAGAAGAACTGTGGACTGTATGATAAGTCCATATAAACATTGGGAATAATTTTGCTTGTGTGTTGTCTTAAATATCCCTGAATCACTCCAGTGTTCATAACATATTGATTTATTCTCACAGCAACAATTTTTACTGTCCTTCAATCTGCCTTGTCCCTTTTCAAAGTGTGGATGTCAAAATAGACCAAATAAGCAAAAAAATGGTCTCAATTTTGGGGATGTTTTCCTCTTAAGAATTCATTTAAAATAGGAAAATATTGCTTTTAAAAAATTTAATGTTTCTTGCATTATGGTGAGTTATTAAATACTAAATGAATTCTACATCAGAACATTTTAAGTGAAAAAATAGTATGCAGTGACACGGGTTCCAGTTTTATTTGAAAGCAATCTCATGCATTATTTACATTATTGCAAACTCAAGAAATGCTGTTTTACACTAAAATTGAATTGTGAACCTTTGATTTCGATGTTTCTCTGCCTTTTAATGTATGCAATAACCCATTTGTCCTCATCAAAATAAATAGGCCTCATGAAGGATCTTATTTTCTTTAAATTATCAATCACTATTAGTATTAATGCATATGTTTTTGTTGCACTTTGGTTATGATCAAGTTGAATGATCCATAAGTCAGTTTGAAACACCCTAACTATAACTCAGTATCTTTAAGGCGGAACAATTCCTTTTGTAGGATGCAGTAGAAGTATGTGCTATACTTTTATCTGACTGGCAATAAAGCAGGGTAGGTTACACCTGCACCATCAAAAATATGTGAGAAATGCATTGTACTATGGCATTATGGCAGCTACAACATCAATATAACCTGACTTTTCAACTCTTTTATAATCTCTTAATAAAGACTCTATTATATCCTATTAATCAAAAGAGTAATCTATTATATTGTTACAGAACCATGTCATCAATGAGATGCATGTGTATATACTTAAGTTTTGTTCATGGTGCAGATTTATCATCATTTCCCAGCCAGTGCTGCATAGAATACTGGGTGGGCTTTGTAGTTTGGACGTAAACTGTTTAGCATTACTCAACTCATTTGCTATGCTGGTACATTCAATTGTGTTTTTTAGATCTGATGATAGTTACAATATTTTGGTGTATTTACTTAGCAGCCTCTTGGTCTGCATCTATTGAGAATAGCTGCAGATTCTCTTTCCCCTCTTAACAGACTTCTGGTACTAAATGTGGTCAAATAGGGCCAAAGTACTTTGGTGGCTAAATGCCGAAAGGTAGAATGAGTTTAGCTTTCAGGTATGTAGAAACTCTAGATCTGGGTGGCCTTTTTAGAAAACTCTTTTTTGATTCTTGCTAAATAGGGACAGAAGATCATATGTACCTTGCCCACTGTATTGGGAAAATCATTTGGTTCATCTTTAAGTTTTACTTAAAGCAGAGTTTTTAAACTCAACAGGTCGGCTAGAGAGATAGGAATTAGTAATGGCAAGCCCTCTTCCAGGGTGTTAAAGTAATTTTAGAATGCTAAAGACTTTTGGTGGCTAGAGGAAGCCGTTGCAACCTCCACTTTAAGGAAGATTGGTGCTAGGAAAATTTGAGCCTTAAGAATAGCTCTTGAGGAGAACAGGTACCTTGGAAACAGCAAGTAGCCATTAGGATAGGTGAGATCACTTCCCTCAGTATGCCCGCCTTTCCACCTCTGGGCCTCCTGTTGATGTCTCTGCTGTTCCGATAATGACTTTACAGCTGGACCAGGACTTCTGAGGCTATGCGACATAAGGACCACAAATGCCCACACAATGGATTCAAGTCTCACATGGACTATGTTCATTCAATTTTTGGAAAGTCTAATGTGTTTTAGTTAATTTTTCATCTGAACAAACTGGATAAGATCGATAGCTTATTTTTGTTGGGGAGTGATTTTTATATTAAAATTTTATTTGCTGTGATTGGAATTAAAAATCCTACCTTTTTTCTAAACATCTGTCACCATCCCCCATCAGAATAATGCAGCATAGGCATACGGGACTAGGGTTTTCTTATACAATACACTTTGAATTGAAGGCTCATCTCACTGTTAATAACAGTGTGATACTGAACAACTTTCTCCCTTCCCCCCTTTGATGCTACCTCTTTAAAATTGGGATAAAAATTGGAATTGGTATGAAATTTTAAAATTATTACACTATTTAGCACAATGCCTCACATGTAGTTACTGTTTAGTAACTAGTGATAGTGAGCCTACCTTTATCATCACTAACGATGTATGTGTGTGTGTCTCCTCCAGATAAATGATAATGAACTTTTGTGAGTGGGTCAGAATATCATTCCTTTGTGTTTTCTACAGAGTGCTTTACACCTGGCTAGACAGTGTGTTTATTAAATTGACCCTTCCTCAGTAAACATGATTCATAAGAAAAACTTCCTAATTTTGCTTTCCCATTCTCCTGCTCAGCCTGCTTTTCTGATTTCACTCCATTGAGGAAAACAGATAGATGCTTTAGAATGAATAAAAAGAAAAGATAATTCATCAAGCATTTGGTAGCAAGATTTGATTCAGTTAACCCAATTTTGGGGGGAATAAATACCTGAATGGTTCCGAATCCTTTGTTAAAGACCACTTAGTAGATTATTAAGAAATGTTCTGTTACAAGGCTCCCAGTGGAATGTGTGCGAAGAAGTAAGTGGACACGGTCGTGATTTAAAATGTGCTGCTCAGTGGCTACAGGCTCAGTTTCCTCATTTGTAAAATGGAGATATTCTGTTGGACATTACGTAGAAGTGAAGATCAAATCAGGTAACTTTAGAAAACCACTCTGTCTAGACTCTATTAATTACTCAAATATCTGCGGCTATTATTGCTATCATTATACCGGGTATTATTATTGACATAGCAGGTGACAGATAAGCTGCCCGTTGTCAGCATGGACACTCTGACAATAACTCACTTACTTCATACAAGATAGAAACAACTTATTGTACATTGTAGCACACAAGAGAACATTTGTATTTTACAGTACAGAATTTATGTGTGGTGTGTGCATGTGATTAATAGTGAAATATTTTAATCCAAAAGAAAAATTAAACCATTTAAAAGCCATTACAACCTTTTTTGTTTGATTAATGAAGTATAGTGTATTTTTAAATGAAAATTTCTAGTACCCATTATTAATTCTTTAAAAAATAAAAATGCATTTTTATCAGATCGGTTGCTTAATATCTCCGTTGTGAATTAGCATCAAATAGTACATTTAAGAGTTATATTGAGACTAGAACTCATATAAAACATGCCCTTGCATAGAAACGATTATTTAAAATAGAAAAGACAAGGGAGAAGGTTGTAAAGGAGAGGAGGAAGAAGAGGACCCAAGAGTTAAACAAGATTCCCAATTAGTGACTTGCAGATTTCAGTTTTGCTCACCTAAAACATACCAGTTGGTGAGACAAAAAGAAAATACTCAATAACAAAATATGTGTAAATAGTTTGTCCTCACTTTACAAAGATAGATTCTTAAATTTTCAAATTTTATTTTGAAAGGAGAAAAAGAAAGAGTGAAACACTCCCATTTACTGGGTCATTTCCCAAATGACTGCAATGGCCAAAGTTGGGCCATCCAAAGCCTGGATCCAGGAACTAAATCCAGGTTCCCCACATGAATAGAAGACATCCAACTACTTGAGTGTCTCCTGCTGTCTTCCAGTGTGTGCATGAGCAAGAAGCTGGAATGAAGAGCAAAGCTGGCACACTCAAACCAAGGCACTCTGTCATGAGAAGTGAACCTTTCAAGCAACATCTTAACAGCTGTGCCCAATGCCACCCCTAAAGTGAATTATTAAACAAAGCTAGATAGTAAAGGAATTCCTTCATTAAAAAGTGTAGACGTTTCATCTTGACTGGCCTATTCAGATAGAAATTGCTCGACATTCTGAACATCCACTGGCATTTTGGACACTGCAACCAGAACTGTATACAGAGCATAGTTGAAGGTGGTGTCTGCACAGCAGATTCTGTCCACCTGTTCTTCCCCTGACGTGCATCCTGGTAGAGTTGCGGGAGCAGGAAGAGCTGT